TGGATCTCAGCACTGTGGGTCTGTAACAACAGAGAGCAGATCTCTCAGCACTGTGGGTCTGTAACAACAGAGAGCAGATCTCTCAGTACTGTGGATCTACACCAGTGGAGAGCGGATCTCAGCACTATGGGCGACAACAGTGGAGAGTAGATCTCAGTAATTTGAGCCACAACAGTAGACATTGGATAAACAATACAGGGCTTCAATGTTCAAAGTCTTGTCTTTTCTGTTGCCTTTCAAGAACTGGGGACGATGACCATGCAGGAACTAAATGTCTGGGCAGCATGTTTTTTTTTAGTTTATATGGAGCTCTGATGGTGCATTTAAAAACGTATGCAGTAATTTATCCACAGTGACAGTCAATGCGTAAGAAAGGATGGACAAAGAGAGGAATTGGACAGAACTTATTTTCAATTTTTTTCTTTTCTTTCTTTCTTTCTTTCTTTCTTTCTTTCTTTCTTTCTTTCTTTCTTTCTTTCTTTCTTTCTTTCTTTCTTTCTTTCTTTTTTAATCTTCTGAGACTGACTTACAGCTCTGGCTGACCTGGGACTCTCTTACATAACCCATGGTGGCCTTGAATTTATGACCTGGTAAGTACTGGGGTTATTGTTGTGCCCAGATCGTGACCCTCAGAGAGACCACCAAAGATGAGCATGCCGAAATGCAAAAGCAAGGTTTAATTCTGGATATCCAAAAGCAATACAAGCCTAGGCAGGGACTTCGTCCAATACATCCAACGCAGTGGAGGCTGGAGGAAGTGCCCACCTGTCTGCAAGCTCAGTTTTTAAAGGGAAAAGTCACAAGGTTACATCATTTAGGGGTGCTAGTATGGATACAATTCTGATTGGCTAGCTTCTAGGGACTTCTAGAAATTACTTCTAAGGGAGTGGTTGCCTGCCACCATTTCTCATTGGCTGCCCTCAGGTGGGGGCATTTCGGTGGTCAGTTACCCTGGAAACCAGGGAGAGGAAATTCCATAGTCTGGCAGGCATTACCTCGTGACTATCTTGTGACTCTGTACTTTTACACTTCCTGGTTTCTGGAATCTGAACTGACTGGTTTCAGTAACTAATGGCCTATTCCCAAAAGGAGAAACCGTAGGCCTTAATTTTAGGGTGAAAGCATTTGTCTTATTTCTAAGATGGCTCATTTTGATCTCACAGTTATAACCATGCTCAGCTTTGGCAGTGTACACATAAGTTAGCAATGACCTGGATGTGGCAGAATAATACATTGCAATCCTAGCGTTTGGGAGGTGGAAGCAGGAGCATCAGGAGTTCAAGGTCATCCTTGATAAACATGGTAATCCATGCCTGAAATCCCAGAACTTGAAAAGCAGAGGCAGGAGAATCAAGAGTTCAAGGTCAGCCTTGACTACATAATGAATTAAAAAGGAGCTTGGACTACAAGACAATGGGTCTTTAATTCTTTTCTTCCAGTGCTGGGATTGAACCCAGGGCTTTGTGCCTCTTTTTTTTTGGGCAGGTGGTGGTGGTGGGGATAAGGTTTCACTACGTAGCCCTGGAACTTGCTGTGTAGAACAGGTTCACCCCAAACTCCCAGATACTGGTCCCACTCTGCCATGTGCTGGGATTAAAAGTGTGTGCCAGCTGGGTGGTGGTGGTGGTGGTGCACGCCTTTAATCCCAGCACTTGGGGAGGCAGAGGAGCACTTGGGAGGCAGAGGCAGGAGGATCTCTGTGAGTTTGAGGCCAGCCTGGTCTTCAGAGCAAGTTCCAGGACAACCAA